GGCCGCCATTGTGTGTGCCAACACGGTGTGGGCTTGGATAATTACTGGTGTATAGCCCGCATTAACCCCTTGGAGGAAGGGATCGCGGTTTGCCGGCATGACAGTCAGTGCCTCCACCAAGGAGGGTGTTCGCGATACCACGTTAGACGTGGTCAAGAGGATCCCCTCCTCCGGATAGCAGGGCCAAGCTCTTACGCAACCGCAATGGCACAAGCATCTGCATGGCTGGCGGAATGTGCACTGTCTGGCTAACCGTAGCCTGCACAACTGCATTAACTGATGTATATGTTGTGGGGGATTTCAAAAAATGCAGGCGCTGCCCCAATGACATCTGAATACACCCATGGTCACCATTATTTTGAGGGGCATCCTGCATAAGAAATACGTGCAGGACACTGCCAGAGTTTTAGAAATCAACACAGGCCTGTCCATTACCACTTCTCCAATTTGCACCATTGCGATCATGTGACTGACTATCCCCAAACTATCCCCATTTGCCGCTTCACATGGCCCGTCAACCTGCTCCAGAGGTCGAGGTGACGCCGGCAATGAGCAAAAAGTAGGCAACGAAATGAGGGTGGCCGAGGCACCTGTATTGATCAACACCCGGACCTGCACCCCCTGGATAAGGCCCATTACATCAGACGATCCCACCGCGGCACCGACGACTCGTTAGGTCAACGCAACACCACTGCTCAGTGTCCCGCGGACCCGCATCCAGCGAACCCACATGGCGAGCTTCCGACGCGACAGGATGAACAGTAACCGGGTGAATGAAGGCGAGGTGCGCTGTGGATGAGTGATGGGAGGGAAACGGTCATGTGTATGGTGCGTCGCGACTCGCCTGTGGTCCTTGGGATGAGGAGGTGCTGGTACTCGAGATTGAAGGGGGCCTGGGCGAACCACCGAAGCACAGAACGCAATTCCTGGTGATGTGTCCCCTCCGAACGCAGTTAAAGCATGCCCGCTTAGAGGGCCCAGTCGGCGGCCTACTCCTTGGTGTCCACACCTCGCATTTCTTCACACCGTCGATCTTGGGACTCCGAGTCCCTTTTTCCATCAGAGCACGCCATTACTGCAGGCCATCCTCTGAGGCTCAGGTGAGCTTGTATATTTCGAGTGACTTGGAGGGACATGAGGTCGTCGTCATCAGCTCCCTTGCCAGTGCCAAGAACCGCTCCAGAGCGAACGAGTCGAGAGTTGCTCGATCCATGGAGGAGTAGGCCGCTTGTCCGAGGGCCAAGAGAGCGCTGCGGAACGCCAGGGCCGTCTCTGTGTCCCCCCGTTTTCTGAGCAGGAATCTTCTGCGGATGTTCAATGGTGGGTCGAAGATCGCTGCCATCGCGGAGCAGGCATCGGTGAACGAAGAACGATCAGCCTCGGGGATGGAATAGAAGGTGGCCAATTAATCATCATCCAGGGACTTCGACAAGGCCCATAGCGCCTCATCCACAGACCAGTCCACCAAATAATATGCCGCCTCGAAGCGACAGCAGAACGCCGTCCAGTCGCCCCCAGCCGTGGAGAAAGTACGGACCGGAGGCAACCGGCACATCAGAGATGGCCGCACAGCAGGCGAAGTAGCCGTCAAATCTGGTGCAAAATTTGGAATGGAGCTGCTTACGCTCGTGGAATGGCAGCAGCTTCCTGCGCGATCACCGTCGTTGAAGTGGCGGGAAGAGTCGGCGCATCCACCAGCGCCACCGCCGAAGTTGTGCCTGGATTGCCATGATCAGCATGTTGAACAGGTAAGTAATTGCCGGCAGCATCCTCTCCAGATGGGCAGCGATGTCTCGCCAATCCTTCGTTGGCGGGCAGACCGGGCTCGCCCCGCGCTCTCCCTCTTGTGCCGGCAGCAGCAGGTCCTCTGGGCCCGCCAGCTGATCTGCAGCGTCGGGGGAACATGGCAAGAATGATGTCCATAATAAAGGTTTGTGGGTTAGATCGCGTTATTTATAAATGTGTCATAACCCTCCACCACCCGACATGGCCAATCAGCAAAAAAAGTATCACGTTGACAAAAGACAAATAATTCACTACTTTAGCCCACCGGTGTGTTGAAGAGTGAATCCACAACATTTACAGTTTGAGTACGACGTTTCGCTGGTAAATACATCCAGCATCATCAGGCAATTCGCCAGAATGGTAAAGCCCTCGCTTGCTCCCGGTTTTAATAGAGCAGCAGGGTGACGTCATCATTTAACTCATATCAGGTGCAGTAATTTGAGGCGGGGGGGGGGGGGTATTGTAATTATATAATCGATTAGTAATCAGTCAATGGTTATGATTAGTAATGAGTTGTAGATTGGTAATTAGTTGTAATATGTGTTAGTGATTATATGCTATGTTAGTAATCTGTTAATTAGTATGTGTCTCCCCTATAAGGAATTGTAATGTGTATTCATATTCTTAGCTCCCTCGGCAAAGCCACGTTGAAGGGAAACAACAAAACAACAAATATATATTCTATTATTCTATTGCTTCCCCTCAACGCGACTCCACCGAAAGAGCCAAGAACATGAATTACTGCAGTCACGAACGCTTTAAATCAAAATGTAATGTGTATTATTTAATAATACGCTTCCAGGCCGCACTAAGCCTGTAGCTGTCAGAGCGATTAAAGTTATTTTTATTCCTCTCAATTTCAATGGATTCTCTAATTAGTCTTTGCCAGTAATAATTAGTTTTAAACAACAATGCAACATTATCAAAATCAATTGAGTGTCGTTGTTGACAAGCATGTTCTGCCACTACCGACAGTTGTGTTTGAGATAATTTAATATTTCTCTGATGTTCTTTTAGTCTTACGCTGATGTTAAATTATCTCAAACACAACTGTCGGCAGTGGCAGAACATGCTTGTCAACAAGGACACTCAATTGATTTTGATAATGTTGCAGTGGTGTGTAAAACTAATTATTACTGGCAAAGACTAATTAGAGAATTCATTGAAATTGAGAGGAATAAAAATAACTTTAATTGCTCTGACAGCTACAGGCTTAGTGCGGCCTGGAAGCGTATTATTAAATAATACACATTACATTTTTATTTAAAGCTTTCGTGACTGCAGTAATTAATGTTCTTGGCTCTTTCGGTGGAGTCGCGTTGAGGGGAAGCAATAGAATATATATATTTGTTGTTTTGTTGTTTCCCTTCAACGTGGCTTTGCCGAGGGAGCTAAGAATATGAATACACATTACAATTCCTTATAGGGGAAACACATACTAATTAACGGATTACTAACATAGCATATAATCACTAACACACATTACAACTAATTACTAATCTACAACTCATTACTAATCATAACCATTGGCTGATTACTAATCGATTATATAATTACAATACCCCCCCTCCGCCTCAAATTACTGCACCTGATATGAGTTAAATGATGACGTCACCCTGCTGCTCTATTAAAACCGGGAGCAAGCGAGGGCTTTACCATTCTGGTGATTTCCCCGATGATGCTGGATGTATTTACCAGCGAAACGTCGTACTCAAACTGTAAATGTTGTAGATTCACTCTTCAACACACCGGTGGGCTAAAGTAGTGAATTATTTGTCTTTTGTCAACGTGACACTTTTTTGCTGATTGGCCGTGTCGGGTGGTGGAGGGTTATGACACATTTATAAATAACGCGATCTAACCCAAAAACCTTTATTATGATTAATACTGGTCGCGAAAGCCTACGTGTTAAACCAAGAATGATGTCTCCGTCGTTATCGTCATCGGAGAAGTCGACGGGTAAGTTCCTTTTTTCTTAGCTGCTTTCTTTGACATGACTGCGACATAGGTTCTTGACCAATTCGACACCAAATGTAGTGGTGTATTCACACGGACACTTTTAGCTTTTCTCCTGTGTCACTTTATTACTTCACATCCCGTATGGATGCTCCTCACACTAGCACAATGCACCCTTGCTCTAAACTCCCTCTCTCAATACTCTGCTAGCCTGTCACTTAATACTTCGCTAGCCTGTCACTCTTCTCTCACACCTCCACCTCGTCCTTGTCCCCAGTGGGGATCAGCCAACCCCACTGGGGAGGACGAGGTGTAGAGGGTGAGGTCCCAGGCTTCTTCTCCCCGGTTCTTGTCCTCTTCGTTCCTTCAGCTCCGACCAACGTCCCCGTGTTGCTCCGCACACATCCTTATATGCCCCTCCTCATTAAGGGTCCTCAGTTACCTCCCATTAAGCTGGCGCCTCAGCGGCACCTCCTGCACGTGCTCTCTCTCTTATCATCTCCATTTCTCGCCTCTCTGGCGTCTACTCCGTATTCCCGCGCTCGCAGCTGCCTGTCCCTAAATGCACCCGGTTAATTATTGCTTCTCCCCCTAATTGCTGGGGTCTCAATGGCGGCTACTCCATGTCTTCATGCTTGCACCTGCTCGCCCTCAAATGCACCCGCTGTTTGCAAACCCCGCGCATTACGTCACTACACATGTACCTGGGCTAGACTGATTAGAAGGCAAGGGGCAGATCAGCTCAATAAAAATGGGAGGAAGCTGTTAAACTTCTATGGAGCCGATGGGCTATGATCACCAACACACTGTTCTTCCATCAGTGCATCCACACAACATTATGGATACATGCTGAGCCCAAGCAAGAGCATCTGCTGGACTATATAGTGATGAAACAGTGAATGCTGGTCCTTGACAACAGGACCTAATGTGGCAAATCTTTCCACTGATAATTTTTGGCTTGTTACCTTTAAGATGTGCCTACTATTCTTCCACTATGGTGGTGGGCATCTACCTAGGATCCCATTCAAACCCACAATAGCCTGGTTTTGGCTAACCAATAAAAGTCTACAACATTACATTTACACAACGCACCAGTTACTCATCTGTGGCTGAGTCGACCGAGGAGAGGCCCAGGACTGGTTCAGATAATTGTCACTGTTGTTGGCTGAGAGCGAGAATGAACTCGGGTCTCCAGGTTCGTAGCGCTGCATGCTAACCACTGCACTACCACATGTACAAACGCACACACACACATGCAGGTTGCGAGCTGTACGCTTTCTGCGGAGCGCTCTTCGGCATCGCGTCCATGGTCACCCTCATGGTCATCGCCACTGACCGCTACCTGGTGCTGACTCGGCCCCTCGCCTCCATAGGAGCCATGTCCAAACGGCGCGCAATGTACATCACGGCGGCCGTGTGGTTCTACTCGCTCGCCTGGAGCCTCCCACCCTTCTTTGGCTGGAGTGAGACACAAGCTCCAGCCCAATGCTTTTATGGGCACCACCACCACAAGTTCAAATCCCACTACCACCGCTGACACAGCCCACTGCCAACACAACCCACCACCAATACAACTCATTACCAATGCTGATACAGCCCACTACCAACAAAGCCCACTACCAAACACAGCTCACTAACAACACAGCCCACTACCAACGCTGACACAGCCCACTACCTCCACCAACAGCGCCCATTACCAATGATGATACAAGCCCACTACCAACACAACCCACTACCAAGGTGATATCTACTAGCAGATGCCACTTTAGCACTCCTGAAAATCACAACATGCATTTTTTTTCATTATTTTCCTTATTAACAAATCTTAAGGCGAAAATGGTTGCGCTGGGTTGGATGTGTGCAGGATGGGAGAGGATCAGTTGCCGAGACAGCCATTTGAATGGGTCTCCATGAGTACAGCAACCAAGGGGAAGACTGCTAAGACCAAATGCGGGGAGACTATGAGGACAGATCCTGGAGGTCGCTGCGCATGTACTGTGCACCACTTGCAGGATCTGGCAGGGGGGGGGTAGGAATTTCGATTTAAAGCTTTCGTGACTGCAGGGATTCATCTTCTTGGTTCTTTCGGTAAAGTCACGTAGAATGGGAAAAAAATATAATAATAATAAAAATAAATATTTTATTTCCATTCTACGTGACTTTCGGTAAAGTCATAATATTTTATTTTATTGTTTTATTTTTATTATTTTATTTCCATTCTACGTGACTTTACCGAAAGAACCAAGAAGAAAAAAAGGGGTAGGAATTGTTTGACGAGGAGTTACGGTGGTGGCATCATTGGCTTTGGCCATGACGTCTTGACCTTGAACAAAGCTTCAAACTCTAGTCAGACTTCCTAGGACATAACACGGGATGTATATCTGCAAAGATGAGTGCTGTTGTTTGAGTTAAAAACTAATCTGTGAATAATTATTATTTTACCAGTTAAGGCACACTGAGCTATATAGTCCTTTTTTAAGAAGCGACCTGGCCACAAATTATAGCTCAACGAAGTGGCTTATCACGTGTAAATTTATAGCAGCCAAATACTGTAAACGCATGTTTCTAAATACGGAGGGAAAAACCGGAGGAACCCTAGAAAAATCCACGCTACCACGGGGAGAGAGAAATGCAAAATCCATATACACGGGCGTCAGGTTCGGGATCGAACCCACGACCTCCTATAAACCAGGTGAGGGAGTTAACATCTCGGCACCATGTCTTTAGTCCGGCTGTTTATGCTTCTCTTGGCACTTGTAGGTGCCTACGTCCCAGAGGGACTCATGACGTCGTGCACATGGGATTACGTGACATTCACACCAGCCGTACGTTCCTACACCATGCTGCTCTTCTGCTTCGTATTCTTCATCCCGCTCATTGTCATCATCTTCTGCTACGTGCGCATCTTCGCAGCCATCAAGAACACCAACAGGTGAGGCATTCTTGCGAGTTTGTGTGCACGGTCTGTCACGTGTTTGTGCGCATGGTCTGTGACGTGTTTGCACGCATGGTCTGTCACGTGTTTGTGCGCACAGTCTGTCACGTGTTTGTGCGCACCGTCTGCCAGGTGTTTGTGCGCATGGTCTGTGCCGTGTTTGCACGCATGGTCTGTGCCGTGTTTGCACGCATGGTCTGTCACGCGTTTGTGCGCATGGCCTGTCACGTGGTCTGGCACACGTTTGTGCGCATGCTCTGTCACGTGTTTGTGCACATGGTCTGTCACGCGTTTGTGCGCATGGTCTGTAACGTGGTCTGTCACTTTTGTGTGCATGGTCTGTGACGTGTTTGAGCGTATGGTCTGTCACGTAATTGTGCGCATAGTCTGTCACGTGATTTGTCACTTATTTGTGCGTATGGTCTGTCACGTGTTGTGTGTACGGTCTGTCACGTGTTTGTGCGCACGGTCTGTCAGGTGTTTGTGTGCATGGTCTGTCACGTATTGTGTATACGGTTTGTCACGTCGTTGTGTACGCTGTATATTGCGATGGCAATATACACTCGTACACAGCATGAAACAATTGCCTTACAACTTCACAATACAGCAATATACACCATGAAACAATTTCCTTACTGTCACCACGTTGACTAGAGGGATGGACGTGTGAATTATCTGTATTGTGGACTTGGTAACGTGAGTTGTGTTGGTCATCATCATTAATTCAAACTTGATATTTATAATTATATATTATCAGTCAGCATTTACAACATCTATTTTTCGCCGACACTTGCTGGACTTGTTCAATTTGCCCCTGGGGTGTGACTGTCCGCACAGGGCTGTGAAGACTCTGGGGGATGCCCATGATAGTAAGGAATCACAGAAGCAGCAGCAACGGATGAATGCCGAGTGGAAGCTTGCGAAGATCGCCCTCATTGTCATCTTGCTCTATGTGGTGTCCTGGTCTCCATACTCGTGTGTGGCGCTTGTGGCCTGGGCTGGGTACGTTTGTCCTGCTGCTCTCCTGCCTAACTCGCCACCTCCTGGTTGTTTTTGCTCTGATTTATGATTATAGTTTTTTGTTGTTGCTTTGATTTCTATTAACTTCATTGTTGTACTTTGTTTAATGTTGTTTTAATGTTGGTGACCCAGGTCACTTCCAAATGGGATGTATCCTGATCTCTTGAGTCCTCGCCTAGTTAAACAAAATAAACGTTAAACTTCTTTACAATGCTCAGGTGGGAATCTGTCTCCAACCTCTTCACCTCCTGCTCCCCTTTCCACCATGTTCATCTCCCTCACCCCGTTTCGACCACCTTTGCTCCCCTCCAGAAAATTAAAAACGCTTCGGCCCGGATTATTTTTAATCATCCACACCACACCCATTCCTCTGTTCTCCTTGTCGAACTCCATAACTCCATCAGCTTCCCATCTACTACCGCTGTTTATTCAAATTCCTTACCCTCGTTTACAAATCACGCCATGGTTCTGGCCCACCCTATCTCGCTTCTCTTATTTTTTATTACATCCCATCTCGGCCCCAGCGATCACAATCTCTGGTGTCCCTCACTACGCCCCCTCCCCCTCCCTGTGCTCAGTCACGTTTCTGCTCCTCCCTCCTGGCTCCCCTCCATTGAAATAAACTGCCACTCCACATCAAACAGGCAACTTCACTAAACCATGTTTCATTCCTCCCTTAAGATTACTCTTTTTTCAATTGCATATCCCTCTACTGCTTCCTGTCCTCATCCTTAAAACCTTAACCAGCCTCCCCCTTCCTAACCTCGCCCTCCCTTTTCCTATCACCACCCTTCCTTGCCATCCCTTCCCCTCCCCAACACTCAAACCCCATCCCTTTTCCCCATCAGCCAATACTAATGTGTCATTTATAACTCTTGTAAAGCACTTTGACAAAAGCGCTATACAAAATCCTCGAGATAGGATAATATATTGCTCCATGACAAATTACTTGCAGGAAATAGCAACAATAACAAATGTCCACTATTTACCAAGGAGAGGTTCAATGAGCACTCAAGAAGGGTCCTGCATTGGAGTGGTTGGCCCATTCATTATATGTGAGTGTTTGGCATGTGGGAGGGAACCAGAATTCCTGCCAAAAAGTGACACACACGAGTGTAATACGTACTTAAAGCTCAGTACAGATAGATTGAGTAACCTGTTGCTCCATTGCCAACTCATAACGATCTTGCAGCCCAGTCCTATAATGCCTAACATTCCCAAGCAGTCCTCCATCCAAGTATTATCCAGGCTCAAACCTGTTTAGCTTTTGAGATCTTACAAGCTCCAGCACAATCAAGGTAACTTGATTGTTCCACATTTGTATGAGTGCAGAATCCCATAACCCAGCTGGTAGAATAGCTGACCGCCCAGTTATAGCATTGTACGTTCAAACCCTAATGAATGTTTGAAAGTATTTTTAACTCTTTTCTTTATGACCATATCATCAAATTTCTGTCAGAGAGCCCGGGACCCATGACCGAGGTACCAGGCTAGTAACGATGGATTATGTGCTCATGGAGTGCACAAAGAAGTGCAAACAGGACGTAAAATACGAGAAACAATAGAGGAGATGATTAAGCAAGTTAAGAAAAAGATCTTGGAACTGAATTGCAAATCCATATTTGTGACAATTCATTGCACCACCAGAGGAGTGATTCACTCCTTAACTACTTGGTGCATGTCTACAGGATACGAGCCGCTTCAACTCTTCGAGTTGTTTAACTTGGCTGCTGCCTGTCTCCGCAGTTACGCTGACATGCTCACGCCCTACATGAACTCCGTGCCTGCCATCATCGCCAAGGCGTCGGCAATCCACAACCCCATCGTGTATGCCATCACGCACCCCAAGTACAGGCAGGCGATCGGCAAGTACGTGCCGTGCCTTCGCTCGCTGTTCGGCGTCGTCCGCAAGGGCTCGCGGACTCTGTCGGGTAGCAGCTTCCAGTCGACACGACACTCCACGCTCTCCAGCCAGATGTCGTGTAGTGGTGACACGGTGCGCCGGCATCGTCAGCCGACCTGCACCTCTGACTCGGAGTCGGTAAGGAGCCAGGACAGAGATGGCCAGGTGGTTCTGGGGAAAGGGGGGGGGGAAGTTTCACGACGGTGACGTCTGCACCGCTCTGAGACCCTCTCGTGCAGTGCAGGCGGCGTTAGCCCAGTCGCCAATGGCAGTACAAAAAATAAAATACAATTTTATTATTTTCACAACGTGATGTCAATAGTTCTTAGAATTAGGTCGGAGAAAAGTAGAAAAATACACCCATTCAAAAAAATGTAACTACATATTTACTGTTAGACGTGACTGTAAGTAGTAGTGTGCATTAACATTCAATTAAAACAGCTTCTTTTGAGCCTTAAGAGCCCTATTTAAAATATCAAAATAAGTCATTGGTATGATTGGGAGTGTAAAGGAGTTATATATATCTTTTAAACTACATAAGCAAAATACCTCTTTCAGCAGCTAATAGATTGGCATTGATCGTTCATGTAGAGTAAATAGAATGTGTAACATCGTGATCATTTAAGTTTCCACTGGGTATCCAATTAGAAAGAGGGGAAATTATTCCACTGTTACATTTTTTTCCTTCTTACTCACTGAATCCTGAATACAAATATACGTAAATAATTTATCCTGATCTTGAGTGGTATAAACAGGAGACACAGTGTCTCATTTACATTCCTTTAACAATGTATTTATATTTTTACTTAAGCAGAACTTTGAGGAGAGCATCTGACTGTACACCCCGTGTGAGGACGGCTTGTCACCCGCTCTCACTAGTGCTGGACGGACGTGGAGGGGGAGTCAGGGATCCGGACCCGGCCAGCCAGCCGTCAGGTCTCCTATGACCTTCCTCGAGATACCATCGAGGGCCAGGACCTGGGGAAAGCGAGGTGCCATGACTCCGGCATGTTCGAAAAGGTGGGAGTTTGAAGGATTGTGCAAATGAATATGGCTACTGAGCACCTACTAAGGCTTGCACAGCGACACGATGGAGTGGTACGGCCACGGTACCATGGCCTGCTGCTTGTTTACGTGATGACGAGCACTCGCCGTGTATTTCCATGAGATATAACCGAAGTGAAATGCAAGGGATATGGATTTCGTATGATCCTCTGCAATTTCTTTGAATAATTAGTGTCTACATACCTGTATGCTTTAATGTAATTTATAAGATGTCCACATAGACACCACGGGACTTAAATACACCTCGATGACCCTTGATTTCCCCTTACCCTTTCGTGTTAAGGATGACGACGTTGGCATCCTGTAGTCTGCTAGCTCTTAGAGAGTGTGACATGCAATTCACCATATGTGAAGACAGCTTGGGGTAAGCGCAACCCAATGTTCGTGAACTTCTGAGCTTTGTTTATGGTCACAGCAAAACGTCACAAGGACTGGAGACTGCCGCCGCTTTGTAGCAAAAGGAATTGTGTGGTCAAAAGGTGCCAACTCTCTTGATCATTCAAGCTGTTCCCCGTTACACACTACATGATATATATGTAGTGGCATAGAATAGTAATGTAGCAGCATAGCGTTGGCTGCTGGCAGGGAAGGGGATCTGTTGCTTACAGCAGGCCAGGTTATACACCAGAGGGGGGTATCGGGGAAAGGCCACAGAAGGGGCACACCAAGAACCACTGGTAGGTTCTAGAAAGGGGTCGTGGCCGGGGGCAGAGCCATGCCATGCTGACAGTATAAGAGGGGCCCCTGTAGGGGACCTCGGGGCTGTTGTATGGAGTGGGATCCCCGTCATGCTGCTGAAGTTTTCACTATTCTTCTGGTCGTCTTCACCATCCTTCTTGTCGTCTTCTCTATCTTCACTATCTTGGGGCGTCACCAGTCAGGCAGCCTACCAACTGTCCTGACTGAGTAACGTCGCTGACCATAGATGGACTTATTGTAAAGTGTTGAACCCCGATGGTGCTTGTTAATAAAGAAGTGCCTCCAACTCTTAGTGTCTCTGAGTTAGTTACTACATATGTAATAAACGACTTCCACGACAACTCTTGACTGGTGTCGTTTATTTAACAGAATGTCTGCACAGCTCCACGCTCTCTTTCTGGGTAGTTCTCTTGCTTCCCCCGCTGCCTTGACGATTCGTCTCTGTCCGCTGCCACGGCACGCCTCACTCTCTCCGTTCACGCCACTGGCTGGCGGCGTGCCCGGAGAAGATGCTGCTTCGCTGGAGGTTCGCCACATGGTCGTTGGCGAGGAGAGGTAGAGCGGCGATCCAGTCCGGACCCGAGGCTTCCCATACCGACCTCGAGTCCTCTCCTGCCTCTGCTTATATGCCTCCTGGTGGAGGTAAGCTCCGCCTACCACCACGCCCCCTCGTGGAACCTTTTGGATGGTTCCCGTATATTCTCCGTAGCTCCGCCCATTACCTTTGGCCTAGTTAGATTCCCTACTCCAGATTGGATACCGGTTACCCAGCGGTGGCTGTGCAAATGTTCTCTGTAACCCACCAGGTGGCGCTGTCTCATTACATCACCCCCTCCCCCCCCCCATGATGAAAAAACTAGCCGTCCCGGCTAAGAATGGAGAGATGCAATTAAAGACCTCGCGGCAACGACAAGGGTGTGTAACAGACATAAAAGCAACATGAACTGTACGAGCCAGCATTAAAAGGTGAGTAACCAAAGTGAAGATAAAACCGGAACATCAGCAAAATCGAGGCGTTTTAGAACGGGTCCGCGACGCCGGGCCCTCCGTGGTAGCCATATCCCGTTCCGCGTCGATCAGTGCGGCTGGAAGTGGAGCGGTCGGTGGAAGAGCGGAGGGGTCTGATGTAACAGGGACGGACTGGGCAAGGCCATCGTCCGCGACGGCAGTCAAGGGTTCAGATGCTGTGGACAGCAAAACAAATTTTCGGAAGATCAACGTGCAACCGCACCCCCTCCGGTTCATCGGATACGTCCTACCCCAGCAACCCAATATGTGGAGTTGACAAAGCAACACGTGGAGGAACAAAGGGTTTCAGCCATGATGGATGGATGAACCAACGACGCCGACTCGCCAGAATACGTACACACTGAGAGTGCTTAACCTCAACCATTTCAACCGGCCCATGCTATGGCTTGTGCAGTTTGGGAGAGGTGCCAACAGGCACCTGAGGGCAATGCAGCCAGGCCCGGTCACCGACGAACTACGACAAGTCATTGCCGGACCTGCACGTACAGCGCTCATTGTGCGCCTGCGTTTTTGCGGTGTTAACCCGAGCGACCTCCCGCGCCTCAGAATTCCGGCACAGGGAGTCCCGCACATGGTCAGCCAGGGTCAGTTTAGCGCCACCAACAGGCGATCTCAATTGAGCATCAATAGGCGGCACATTTACCCTTCCGTACATGAGGAAAAATGAAGAAAATCCCGTGGAACCGTGCGGAGCCATCCTAAAAACGGCGAGCACGCTAGGCACGTGCAAATCCCAATCGGCCTGTTTGGCATCCACAGTCTGGCAGAGCATAGCTGTCAAAGTCCGATTTAGACACTCGACCATCCCATTAGTCTGAGAGTGATATGGTGACGTCCTAATCTTTTTGGTGCCCAAAGCGTCGCTAACGTTCGGTAGCAACTTAGAAGATAAATTCCGGCCCTGGTCCATAAGCAATTGCTCCAGGGCGCCTTTGTCCATGACATAGCCATTCAAAAATGCATCAGCGATGGAGGATGCGAATTGGTCAGGTAAGGGCCAAGCCATTGGCCACCAGAAATAATATATTACACCCATCAAAAGGTATTTGTTACCCCTGGGAGTGATCGGGAATGGCCCCTGGACATCAAAAGCCACCAACTCATTGATGCGTGTAACGGAAATAGATTGCAGCAGCGGATGGCACTTCAGGCAAGGCGGCTTTCTGTCGAGTGCACTCATAACAGGATGCGAAAAGTTTAGAGATGTCGGCTGTCATACCGGGCCAATAATAATCCCGTTGCAATGTTAGCAAGGATTTTGAACACCAAGGTGCAACAACTTTTCACCGTGCAACACACGAACCAACCTGTCACGGAGAGCAACGGGAACTACAATGCGCCGTCCATTATGTCATCCTTCCACATCAAAAGGCCCTCCTGAAAAGCCAATCAATCACCTTCCACTGACACAGAACCCTCACGCGTCTGTTCCGCCTGATGCTGCAGAGCCCCTAAGGAGTCATCCAACAGTTGCTCGTGCATCCATATGGAGCGCGGCAACTGCAATACATCGTCAGCCGGCACATCTGCCCCATGCAAGGAAAACTCGTTCACCACGGACATGACAGTATGCGGTAGCAAAGCGACAGGCGAGCAATGACTTGTCCCAGAGGAACATGTGCAACGAGTCACTGGCAGCAGTCGAGACAGTGCATCGGCGTTACAATGCCTGGAACCCTTACGATAAACGACATCGAATGAGAACTCCTGTAATATCTCGAGCCAATGAGACAGCTGACCGACTGGCTGCTCAACCTTCAATGAGTATTGGAAAGCCGCTTGATCAGTGCGACAATAGACTTTCTGCCGTAAAGGTAAGGCCTATACAGCCGCACAAAATAGACATTGGCCAACAGTTCCCTCCTGGTGACGCAATAGCGAATTTCTGCGGCCACCTTCTCCACACTGTCTTTCGACTGAGATAAAATGGTGCCTATGCCCATATCGCTGGCATTGCTGTCGAGGATAAACGGCAAACGAAAAATCGGGATATTGGAGCGTCGGCACGTCGGACAAGTGAGTGAAAAGTGCCACGAACGCCGCTTTCTGCTCAGGGCCCCATTTGAATCTCTGATTTTTGGCAGTCAGCGCATGCAAGGGCTTAGCGACCATAGCGAAATTTGGCACGAATCGACAGTAATATGACGTGAAGCCGACGAAACTGCGAACATCACCCGCACATGTAAGGGTAGGCCAGTCACGGACACAAGCAGTTTTTGTCGGATTCGTGATGATACTGTTGGAACTTACCACGTGGCCCAAACAACACCAAATTCTGCAGCAGATGACATTTTTTAGGTTAAACTTGAGGTTGGCACAGCGCATTCTCTCAAACACGGAGCGCAGGCGTAGGAGGTGTTCATCGAACGTACGACTAAATACAATCACATCGTCTAAATAAATGAGGCACGTATCCCACTACAAGCCAGCCAACACGAGCTCCATCAAACGTTGTAAGGTAGCCGGTACCGAATTTAAGCCCAAAGGAAAGCTGGTAAATTGAAAGAGTCCCTTAGGCATGCTGAAAGCGGTTTTCGGCTTTGACGAGTCATCCAGCGGCAATTGCCAAAACCCGGACGACAAATCGAGAGTGGAAAATTACCGCGCCCCGGACAACGCATAAAGGGAGTCATCCCTACGCGGCAGTCGATACACGTCGGCACTGAAACCTTATTTAAATTACGAAAATCCACACAAAACCTGAGGTTCCCATCCTTTTTCTTTACCAGCACAACTGGTGCACCCCAAGGACTATTAGATGGTGAAATTATATCTGCGGCCAGCATGTCACTGACAGCGCTCTGTACACACTCCTTCTGCCTTGGGCTCAACCGGTGCGAGTTTTGGCGAATAGGGCTGGCCCTGCCCATTCCAATGTGGTGAGATAAATAGGGATGTGCACCTCAAGCCGAAATCGTCCTAGCTAAAGACGTCAGAAAAATCACGCACAAACGCGCGCAACCCATTCCGTTGTTTGGGCGACAATACGGAATTCTCACGACACAACTCCGCAATCCATCTATCGTCTGAACCAGGAGGAGTATGCGTCGCCCCCACCACTCGGTGTGGCTACACCTCGGCACGTTCTGTAACGGCGGTAATAGCATGGGCCAAAACAGTGCCGGTGGGAACGACAACCTCATCTGGACCCCCGTTGAGAACCTGAAGAAACGGTGCCTGTTCAGAGCGAATGATCGTCTGAGTGCCGACCAGCGTCAGACCACGCA